ACTTTTAGAATTGTTGAAGCAAGAGAGGAAGAAATTTACAGCATAAAATGATGCCATTTTTGCATAGATTGCATAGTCACACCCATATTAGTGATGTTTAGTTCATTGAGTCAATTTCAGTCAGATGTACTGTAATTGAATTGAACAATTAATATGACCCGTTGCATAAAAGGTGGCTCTCATGGCCCAAGTGGTCTAGTGGATAACGCTTTGGCGTTTGAAACTATGGGCCCTGGGTTCGAGCCTCGGTGGGAACATCATCACTCACTGTGGAATGCCGGTACACCCAGGTGACGAGTCCCAAATAGGACGAAATTCACATCCTGGATTTCATTGCTAGTCACCATCCACCAGTTATAATTGAATCCCCTTGAATTGCTGTATAACCATCTTAAGCCAATGCTGTCTATCATTTTCTTTTATTTTCTGCCTTTTCCTCCCAACGCCCTCCCCCTTCTCCTCAATTTCCGCTTTGCAATTCACATAAACTGGTGATGTGTACCATTTTAAATGACCTTATTTGTAACACTGTCTGATCTATCATTCTATTTTTTTCATACTCATACAACCATTGTAATTTCATTGATATAAGAATAAAACTTGTGCAATGTGGTAGAGTGTAATTCCATTATGGGTAAATTTTGTTTTGATAAAGTCTCACAGTGTTTGTTGTACAGTAATGTTTACTGATGACGTTTCGAGCACAATTTATTACTGCTCATAATCATATCAAGGTAATCACACGACTTCCTAAATTCATTTATATAGTTCCGTTGTTTTTCACTTGATTTGATTGGTAGTAATATTTTTCATATTTCGGGTATGAGTGATGAATCATTCCTATTGCACGTGTTGGGTGTAGATTCGATGAACAAGGCGGGATTCAGTAATCAACCTCTCTCTCCACCTACCTAGATTACTTTTTAGAATTTTGACCCTCTCCCACCCTATTGTGTGGTTGTGTGTTAATGCATGCATTGCAATTGCCGAGCTTTTTTCTAAATTACTTATCTTCTCTGGGTCAACCATTCTTACCTTAGCTAAATTCTTATGTTCTGACAATCTGACTACCCCTGACCTACTAGTTTGACCTATGTAGTTGACCTGACTCACAGTCATTGCAGGGTATTTTGTAAATTATATTATTTTGTCTAATTGGGTCCACTGGGTCCTTTAACCTACAGAGATTGTCCCTGAGTGAGTTTGTAGGTTTAAATGTGGCCACCCTAATTCCTGCTCTATGCAGAATCCTACGTAGGGTCTCATTGTAATTTCAGGTAACCTGTAGATGAAAATTAAACCTGTGAATGAAACTTTTAAAATGAAATAACCTCATATTATACAGCAAAACTATGACCTTTCTTGATTTATCAAAATTTACCACAGGCAATCAAGCGTATACAATTTTAGAATGTGAATACAACGAGAAAAAGATTACACACACATATATATAATTTGCATTCGTTGTTGTACCCGATGAGTAAGATGAATGATTCACTGACCGAATGAAACTACTCTGATGGAGAGTGGGGTGGTAAGGCTGAGGTGAACTAAATTTCACAGAGTCTTTATTAAAAAAGCCTTTGCAGTCAGTTTTGATGAAAGGATGAATAAATGAATAAATAGTTTAGCATGTACAGAAGGTAAAAAAAGAAAGAAATATGTATGTCAACAACATCTGCCTTCTCTCTCCGTTCGATTAATTCACCAGTCTAGTCAATACACAACTTTTACTCACAAAGTACTTCAAAGTACTTTCACAGTTTATTGTAAAACTCCACTTACGTCTATACATTAAAGTAGAAATTCACTGACTTTCCTTTTTGATCAATTAAATAAATATTAAACTAGCCAGTACCTCTCTATTCACATTAGTTACTAACTCGGAATAGTCGTGTAAAAATCTATTCCACTGACTAGATATTTTCTTTTGTAATCTAAGCGCATCACTATTGGCTTTTTTTAAAGAACTGAGTCATTGAATTCCTATCCGAATGGCGCAATAGCCGAGCAGCTTGGCCTATTAAGCTGTACGTCTCAGGTTCGATCCCCAGTGGGGTTGTGAGTGCGCACTTATGAAGAGTCCCAAACTGGGACGAAACATGTGTTTCCATACTCCCTGGTTCTTTAACTTGAAATAAATCAAATCCCTACAAACTAACGCTTAAAAATCATTGAAGAAGCCAATTATTTGGTTTTAGAAAGTTTGAAGATGAATAGTATTCCTAGTCGTGGAAAGGGAACTATTTCTATGGAAGAAGAAATCATGTATACACATATATACATCGGCAAACTCAAGAAAAGGCCTGAAGATGTCAGCATAAAATGCGCACACAATACCCTTCATTTAGTTAGGATAGACTCTTACTTTGCCCAAAACTTAGATCAATGAACATTTGAATTTAGAATTTGTTTCTTTTTCAAATAATAATAATATACCTATTGACTGGATAAATATACACTGGTTGTCAAGAGAACCGAACACACTCATGTCAGCCTTTTGGATGGCGAAAACTGTATGCAGTATCATTCTGTGAGGCAACCACTGAAAGACCTCGCCACCCCCCCCTCCCAGTGGAATATGTTTCATGGTGTTTAAGTAAACACTCCTTACAATATGCAATTACTGCTGTAAAAAACGAGACTTCCAGATATCACTGAATCAACTAATATGAGTGTTTGTTAATAATTACATCAGAAGGATTTGAACCCTGAGTTGTCTTTGTCTAAAGTTCACTGGCAGTGGAGTAAATGTGATCCAACTGTAAACTATTGCCAGATTTCTAGATAAAAGATTGTGACCAAACCACATAATAACCAGTGAACTCATGAAATCAAGTTGATCTGTGAATAATCCATTTATGAAGCGATAACTGTTCAATTCTCTTAGTACAGTTTTGTTCATTTTGATTTTGTCATTCACCACACTGTTCTAATCAATCAGACTGAACTATAATATGACACCTATGGACTAGTTGTTGTCCAGCACCATTAGTCACAAATTCAATCCGGCATTTTTATTATTTCTTCATAACACGAATTTGTTTATTTTATTCGCTTACACAATATCCTTGAAACTAGCGATAAATGAGGTTAATTAGCAATTGAATTTTATCCATCTCAAAAAGATTAAAATGTGATTAGTTAGCTGTAGAAGAGGAACAAATCTGGAAATCTTCGTCACTCACAACATCAACAACAAAATTCGGATTTTCAATACAAACGTCAAGTCAGTCAATTCTTCTATACGGATCAGAAACTTGGCCAGTGTGTTACAAAGAATATTTATTTCCAACAGCCTGTTGCAGACCTTTATCAACAACTGTCTTCGCTCTATACTGAAGATCAGATGGCCGGCCAGAAAGAATCACCAACAAGAAACTATGGGAACAAACAAAACAAGAACCAATCGCTCAACAAATATGCAGGAGAAAGTGGAGATGGATTGGACACTCGCTGAGGAGGCCGCTGGGTGACATCACGCGTCAGGCCATCACTCGAGTGGAACCCGAAAGGGAAGCGGCGAGTGGGACGTCAAAGTGTGGGTGACATGGAGGAGATCGTATGAAGAGGAGTTGAAACAGTATGGATGAAGATGGATGCAGGTGAAAAGTACAGCAGAAGACAGAAGCAAGTGGAGACGTGTAGTTGAAGCCCTATGTTCCACTAGGAACCCAAGGGCACAATAATAATAATAGCAGAAGAATAAGTCAGTTTCAGGAGATTCTAACTAGGCGTTTATATACAACTGGCAATTGAAAATCCTGTAAAACTATGAAAACTACTTTTATTCTGATCAGAAATGCCTTAGAAAGACACAGGAACTCTGAAAACACATAGATGCCATATAATTGGGTGGTGAAGTGGATTAATCGGAAAAATGTCAGTCTTGCAGTCTTCAATTAATATTTCATAAACTTTTAGTAGTCAGTAATACTTGATGAAGTTATCGTTGGATAACACTTAATACAAACAGAATTAAAGCCTTTTGACAACCAAGTTGTAAATGTGAGTTTAAAATACTATTAGTTATAGGCTAAAATCTTCAGTCGACGAACTGAGGTCGTAGTTGAAGTAATTAAAAGAAAAGGACACCTATGTTACCACCATCAAACGGATGAACACAATGGTTGAAGCGTTTTAATGGTGATTTAGAGAACGACAAATCAAGAAGGGCATATTTCAGTAAGCCCAGTGTGACATATTAATTTATTTCACAGACAAAATGCTGGAAATACCCCTTGTAAGAAACTCGTAAAAATATTGTTTAAAAGGTGGTATGGTTTGGGAATGAATACTATATACCGAATGGCATCTGATTTCAGTTCCCGGACGAATAAAAACAGTCAAGTCTTTGAGAGATGCTATGCGTACACTAAGTGAAAAAGTGGGGTAGGTGCACCTATGATAGATTAAATGGACCATTTTTAAGTCATCAAACCAACCACTGGACAAAAATAATTGTCGTCCACTTCCATAGGCACTGATAAAAGCCAAACCAAGCGTAATTCCACCAAGTATGGATCAATTCTCTAAGCCCTTTCTAAACATCCTAAGCTCAGAAAATAATAAAGGTGGGGGGGGGGTAATCATTCGATCGTGTCTACCTAGAAATACATTTGCTGACTTCACAAATACTATCGTTTTAAGCAGATGAGAGTAGTCCTACTACGACATACCAAGAAGTGATCACCATCATCGTTTATTCTTCAAGTTGTACAGCATGGCTAAAAATTCTTGCTGCACAAAATTTCGTGTGAGGTGACTTAGCATAGTCACTTTGTAGGTTGAGGTACGGGGATTTGTCAACATTCGCTTCAGTTACCGCAAATGTCACATTTCAAATAATACTAATTTTGATGCTTAATCACATAATTTGATCAAGGAATAAATATCTATTTTTGAAAAAGCCTTGAAATACAAAAAGTAAATTTATAATGCAAATATTCATAAATGTATATACAATTGCATTCTATAAAACAAGCAGTAGGAAAACTTACTGTTAACCAGACTGTGGAGAGCTAATTTAACCTTTGAAAAATTCCCCCTACCAATATCCAGAACAAATCGATAAAATCCTAAACGTTTTCCAGCTCGTGTTTCGTTTTTATTTGTGGAATCTTTTGAAAAATTTTGGCATAACTTCTCAAAAGTTGTCAAATCATCTGATCTTTTCTGTACAGGTTTTTGATCAGCCTTGTAACTACTTTCCCCATTAAGTGAGTGAAAGGATTCTGTAGTTGTGTGATTTACAGCTTCGTGTTTAGATGAATAACCCTAAGGTAGGAAATAAAACAAAATAATAAAAAAACAAGTTGTTCCACTACTTTGTCGCTTTGTTTTACACTGTTTGAAGTTCTTTTATATGAGTATATTTCATAATTCAAACAAACAGTATCCTACCTGGAATAGTAAGCAGAAGGCCAACTGAGCAACAGAATTACATTTCATAACATGATACTCTTACACACGTATAATATGTCAGTAGTGATTGTGCCTGAGAATCTGAACTATAGTGGTCTAACAGACAACAGTCAAACTAAAAGGAGTAAACGGTATGTTCGAATCTTGAATTTATTCATATTTTGAAATGAAACTAAAATTGCCTCAGATATGCAGATATACATCAGCATTAATCCTTTGAAAACCAATGTAAATATGCATTTTTGTAGTTTTCAATAAACGTTGTGTAACTTATTATCCTATTCAGAGTTCAATAACTCGAAATCACCTTCAAAATTCGACCAGTGGTGATATTAGATTCCATAAAGGAGTAGCTATATGTCAAATTTGCAGTGTAACTTTCACATTAAAAGGTTTAACTGCTGAGAAAACTTTAGCTGGCTGGCCGAAAATTCAAACCTGATCTTTTTATTGGTTCAGGTGTACTTGTCATCGGTGTCAAACAAAAGTCTATGAAACGCAATGGTTTGCCCTTTAGATTTCCAGTTTTGCTAAGGCTAACAAGTCTTACATTGTTTATCTGCTGCTAGTAGCTCTGCACAAACTGTTCATCTTAAGCTAAACTAAACTGATATTCCTCGCACAGCATAACTCTGCACAATCAGTCGCTTCAAACAATTAGTGTTAATCTCTTATCATTCATCATCTTATCGGTTGTTGGCGAACTGTACTGCGTATGTAGCTGACGTTATCTTTTCAAGAGATGTTGTTTGCCGGGTTTATACTGAGTATGAAAAATAAAAAGGTTTTAATAAAGTCAAATAAATAAAATAATTGTTTTTAAATCCACAGGGTGTTATGATTTTAGTAATAACACTTGATATCTACCATGATAATGAGCAGACATATGTAGTTTGGCTATTTTTCGTCCATTTAGGTCTTGGAATAAGCTGCAGCGAAGTTTTTTCTCCATTCAATAAAGCACTTACTGCTCTTTTTAATAAATTTTGTGAGCACAAAATTGTCTTATGGGACGTCAAGTTCAATCACAATTTTAGTATGCATACAGCGGGATTAAAAAGATGACTTCACAGTAATAATCTTATAAACAGGAAGAATCTGGGTGCTGGGTGCCAAGACACATGCAACGAGTCATTAACCAAGAGCACAAGGTGTATCATGGATTTATTCTAGGTTCGCATTGTCTCCAACTTCCAAAATAATCTAGTAAAAGCCTTTGTAGAAGTATTCTGTATGGTTTACTAATTTTTCTACTAAAAGGATTTTAAATGCTCCAGACCATGGTGAGGAACTTTATGAAATCTGATTACTTCTGCTACAAATACGTAAATCTCAAAAAAAGAAACCTTTCTTTATCAAATAATTGTGCATTTATTCTTAGAGGGCTAAATTTACTTAGTTTCTCTTATGTGTGTTATAAAACACCTTGCATACACACAATTTTATATGATGCTGAAGTAAGATGTATCGCTTTGGTGTTGTGAACAGTTCGCACACACAGGTGCAGTATGAATTCAAAATCATGAACGAATTCGTTCGAAAATAAACGTACTAACACTCAAGGGGGACTTTAAAACATTCATATGCAATAACACGAGACAAAAACGTTTTAGTCTTTCGAGTATTCTTCAGTTACTTTTCGGGAACTCTGCAGCCATCAGAAATTTATTCCATAAGCATTGTCCAAAATCAAGCATACACTTTCATTTTCTTTCACTGTAGTGATGGTGTTATCACCTAAAAGATCAAATGCAGTGAATGTGGATGAATTATTTTTAATTCTTCCAATTGTCAAGCATTTCTGAGCAAACTTATAAAGATTTAATCGTGTCAAAAATATAAATTGGTGATGAGCTGGGAAAAAAATTTAACACCATGGGAATTTATTCCAAATCTGCAATGAGACTCACATTCATTTGACTGCTTTTACGTATTGGATGAGAAGGAACTTCATCCATAAGTTGTTTGGCGTATCTGTCTAGGCCTTCTACTTCTGATATTGCTGGTCTTAGTTGGCCACCTTGTGCAACGAGATAATTGGTGTTTTGTATCTCGTTGTTACGTATATCTACACCAGTGTATTCGCGTGATAATTCGTGATAAGACCTTTCAGGTGCACACCAATGAATAGTAACATTTCGGGCTAACTTGTTATGTTCCTTCTTTTCATCTCCAAAAGTAGTAGGGTTTTGTGTATATTTACCATTATGTATATGTATTTCACGAGGATAATTTTCTGTCATTTCATAAATATCTTAATGCCACGGTGTTAAACAAATCATAATCGTCACGTTATCAAAATATACTGACCAGAAGTATTTAGGTCAAAATCCCGCTTAAAAAGTGTAATTGGTTAGCGAGTTACTAAAACAAATTTAACACCAAGTTAACAATTCTTTCACAGCCAATATAGGTAGTCCAAAAAATTTCATCGTATTGTGCGTTACTCAACTCTAATGACAATTTGAGAACTAAGTGTCTGTGCATTCAACATAAGATCTAAGAGAGAGTTTCTGTTTTCCTTCATGTTCCCCAGTGGAACATAGGGCTTCAAGCTTGTGGCTTGCAGTTTATGTAGCAGTGTTTATTTTACAGGATGGGGTTGCTAGCCTCATGCCCAACCTTTCCTCTTTACCAGCATTATTTCTGGCTCAGTAAGGTAAAGGAGTGCGTCGGCCGTGGATCGAACCCCGGATCATATGCATGGTCGGCGAGCGTCCTAACCGCTATGCCACCGACGCAAAGTTTGAACCAAATTAACTCCAACTGTTCTCAAAAACAATCTTAAAGAATAAAAATAAAGGTCCCAACAGTCCCTAATGGACCTTGCCCTGGGTATTCCTATTTCCGCATGAAAACTCTCAGGCAAGAACGAGGGATTTCCGAACATCATTTGAATGAGTTTGTAGTGGTGGATGATTCCTCAAAATTATTAGCGTACAGTATTTATCACCCAACATTGGTTGCTGACGTTAACGAATTAAGTCGACTTGTTCAGCTGAAGGTCAGCGATTGGTATCCACGCCATTTAGCGCACGTTCATTTTACGTTCTTTCTTTTGTGCACGATCCTTAGCTGGTTGAGCAATCATCCTGTCGCTAGATTTTCGATCCCGAACTACATTTCGTATTTTTTACGGTCAATCTGGTGTTTTTATTTACTTCTGGCCTTTGTAGAACAAATACTGTAGCAGCCTTGAGTATACAAACTTGAGTTACTGGCTATCATACATTCTGTAGACGTCAACACACCCTCTTCCCCTAAAGTTTCTTGGTATTTTTCTAAATTCATCTGAGGTGGTCTAAACAAGCACAGTTAAATATGTTTATCACGGTTATTCCAGTATCCAGACGAAAGGTAAAAAGTGATAATGTTGAGTTGCCTTCGCTCTAACGATGCTAAATACAAAACCGCTCCATCCGCCTGAACACGTTTTAGTGGTGAGGTCGAAAAGCGTTAATTTACAATTGCTATACATACTGCCCCTGTTGAGAAACGGCTTTCGAATAAAGTGAGACTAACCTGTTATTCGTTCTCCAAGTAGAATCTAGCGAGAGAACTCGTCAGGTAAAACACATTTTCGTCAAAGTTTCGGAATGCTAGCAGTTTCAGTGAAATAATACTTGCATAGTCTTGATATTCAGAACCAATATTTTCCCCTGATATCACTAGCCAAAATCAGTTAGCGCCTTTTAAGTGTTCTCACTTGTCCGAGAAACTTGAGCTGTATACATATATCAGTACTGCAGTACCTCACACTATCCTAGGCATTTTGGTCCATCTATATATTGTGATCATTCCTAGCTGTTTCACTTTTCATCTGTGGTAGAGTCTTTCGCCCAGCTGTTTAGCGTGACTGTGTTATATATCAGTAGGGCGAATGAGACTTAAAATTTTATCTGCCCCCAATTTTATTTCAACTTCTTTGCAATGCTGGCCACCATTTTGCATGTAGAAGTGCCAATTAGTTATTGAATTTTTTAGAGAAACGGTACGAAACTTTATAAATAAATAAATAAATTTATTCTCATAGTGCAGTACATGAGGGACGCCAGTTTACAGGCATCATCAAATTGTTACAGAAATAGAACCATATAATTCAATCACAATTTACAGGCAGTAGCAAGATATGCTTTACATGTTCGCTAAAGATTATACATACACTTGATAAATGTTAATCCCAGTAGTATAAAACAGCCTTTTCACTTATAAACAATCATTTCTGTGCACAGTAGGAAAAATCTGCTAGATTGTCAGTGAGTGCAACACATCAGGAAATACAGAAGTATTGTCTTCGCATTAACAAAAAAACCATGTCTTTGGTGGATAGTAGTTTTACAAACGAGATTTCTTGTCTGTTTGAGGATACGTATCTTAACCGTTAATGTTTTATCTAGAATTATAAATATAGGCAAAAAACAACAGGTGTAGTATTTAAGCTTATACATTAAATGGACCTATAATTTCGGAGGCTCTCAGATAGGAACTAGAACTACTATCGTTTGCAAACTCTTGTAGTTTGTCATTAAGTACCTTTTTGAAGGAGGCCAATGTACTTGCTTGACGCATTTCGATTGGTAGTTTATTCCATATCTGTGCATACCTAATCAAGTAAAACTTTTGCCTGTTGCCTGTTTTACATTGTTCGATAGCTACTGTACCCTTAGTGTGTCTTAGTTTGTAGCCATTGTCATCTGAAAGTCGAGTGCCATTAGTAGAGGTAAAAACTAAGTGGTTTAGAAGCTTATGGTAAAGTGTCAAGTTTAGCCTCAGGCGTCTTAGCCATAGTGTTTCTAGTCCTAGGGTATCACATCTAGTGGAGTAGTTCGCACAATTTTCGGTTCCGAGTAATTTTAACGTGAAGTACCTCTGCACTCCCTCGACTTCCATTTTGTCCTCTATGCGTATACTACTATACATGAATGAACAGTAATCAAATAAAGGACGCACACAAACCTTGTACAACAGAATTCTAGACTCATTTCTGTAGAAGTTCCTGAGTAGAAAGCCGATAAGTCTGCGTGACTTTGACACTTGTTTGGAGATATGTTCACAAAATGATAAGTTATGTGAATATTTCAGCCCTAGGTCCAGTACAGATTCCAGTCGTAGAAGTGGATGGCCTTGAATTGTCAGGTCAAGTTCTAAATTGTTGCAACCTATGCAGAGCCAGCCACATTTTTCGACATTAAATCGGAGTTGCCAGGTGTCACACCATTTATCCATTTTTTCTAATTCTTGCTGTATGGCGTTTCCTGTTATTCCAAGATCTGTGTTCTTGCATTTATACGTCACTTCTAAGTCATCTGCATATAGTATTGGTTTAACCTACACCAAAGCATTCACAGATACTGTTTATATATATTATGAATAAGTGTCGGCCTAATACGCTTCCCTGGATCACACCACTACTTACTGGTTTAGGCCTTGAGATTATCGAGCCAACTTTCGTTGTCTGACTTCGGCCACAGAGAAATGATTTTATCCAGCTCAGGAGAGGGACATATATCTCTAGTGAGCATAACCTGCTGACTAGCAGATTATGGGGAACTCTGTCGAAGGCTTTTGCTATATCGAAATATAGCACAATATTGCATCTGATTTACTTAAAATATAAATAAAATTTAAAATTAAAACAAAATTAACCAGAGGAATTTGTCCACGTTTACGATATAAAGTCAAGAATATTCGAAGCACGAATTGAGAATATTAAATATAATAATAAGAATGAGGGGAAATACAAAATTAACAGTTATAACACAGCCTAAATGATTTTCACACTTATGAATAAATAAACAAATAAGAACAAAAAATTGAGAGGATTATAAGTATAAGAAGTACAATAGCAATAAAGCTTGAGGTTGTAAGGATGGAGGAAAGTGGTTTATTTAGTAGTGCAGAGAAAGTTAGTTAGTTCATGCCTAACACTATTTTCATCACATAAAGTACATGCTAAATATGGTACAGTGGAATTTTTATACTTAGACGTACGTGCATAAAGTCTTCTGAAAAGACTTCTTGTTCTACATGAGGAGACACAAGGTTGGAGCTGAGGGTAGAGTGGGTGCTCACAGTCTGATAAAATTCCTTTAGCAAATTTGTTGCACGAAATCAAGTGCCTATCAATGACAATGTTAACGATATGGCCCAAAGGGAGACCATTCGTCCTACTGACAGTCTTCGGAGTTCTACGAAGTATGACATAGTCTTTCTTAAGCAATCCAGGAATGAATAAGGGTGAACAGTAAAGAAAAATAGGTAAAATACACGAGTTGATAAACTGTAAGAGGAGTGGTTGAGTTATGCCCGAGTGCCTCAACTTCTTAATGTAAAAAGTCAAACGAAATATTCTTTAAGAAATCGCTAAGACATGAGAAGACCAGGATAGGTCAGAAGAGAGAACTAATCCAAGATACTTAACTTCAGACTTGCTTTTTATATCAGTATCATCAATTTTGCAAGGGTCATAGGAACCAACAGCTTCAGTTAACTTTCGTTTACATCGGAAACTGAAATTAACAGTCTGACATTTGGAAGGATTAAGTTTAAGGCCGTTAGACGAAGACCATTTGCTAATTCTTGATAGAAAGCTGTTCATCTTAGTACAGTCTAGCTGGGAGTTAACAGACATTGAAATAGTTAGATCGTTGGCATACTTAATAAAGTTCATTTCATCAGAGTGAGGCAAGTCATACAAGAAAGAAAACAGAAAAGGAGAAAGGACAGCGCCTTGAGGGACACCAGCCTCAGTAAACAACGAAGTGGACGACTTTCCCTGACACACCGTGTACTGCTTTCTTCCTGAGAAATAAGAATGCAGCCATTTGAAAACCCAACAGTCAGTTTGGGTTTCAGCAAGCTTGTTTAAAAAAATATCTCTAGGTACTGATTCGAAAGCTGGGAAATTGCAGTGAACAAATTTGGCGCCTTTGCCTACGCTGAAGACAGTGTTGTGATGCAAGACTGCAGCTGCATCTAAAGTACTTCTACTGTGTTTATAAGTAAATTGTTTGGGATCGTTAAAGGCTTTAAGTGAACGTTGAAGAATAAGTAAGAGTAACTTTTCCATACTTTTCAGAAAAGGAGAGGTAAGAGCAATAGGTAAAATTTTAATATCCTTCCAAACGGCTGGCACGACATTTCTGGAAAAAGATTCATTAAATATGTCCATGAGAGGACAACACAGGATATCTGCACACTTTTTAAGAATAACACTAGGCAAACCATCTGGACCTAGGCTACAAGAAGGGTTTAGAGACCGGATACATTTTAGAACATCATTTGTATTGAAACCAGGGAAGCAGGTTTCATTAACACTTGTAACACTAGAAGGTTTGGCATTTGTGGGAGAATGTATGA